AGCGTCGGAAAATTTAAAAGGCGAGAACATGGAAATCCTTCAAAAACCTTTGGATAAGCAACAAGTTGTGCCTCCCGGGGCTCATTTGGAGGCATCTTGGAAGTTTCTGGGGGCGTCTTGGAGGCCTCTTGGATAGTCAAGGGCTAATTCTGGCCGCCTTGGCCGTCTTGGCCGCCATTGGTCGTTCCCGCGGTCTGGAAACGCCATGTTTGGCGATCCGCAAGCCGTATCCGGGCGATCTTACGGCGCCCCCGGCGCCCCAGCAGAACCCCCGGAACACCCCAGTCCCCCAATGGGGACACAGGTCACGGACGGAAAACCGTAGGTTTTCGCTCGAAGAGGTTCCCAGGAGGGCTCCAGGGTCCAGCAAAAGGCACCAAGAGGCCCCCAGGAGGCCCAGAAGACGCTCCAAGACAAATTCAAAGAAACGTCCCAAAAAGGTCTAAACGCACTGCAAACTCGCTCTGCGGATGAAGCCGGGAGGCGCGGTACCGGCCAGATGTCAGGGGATATGTAGGACCCCCGAGTAGGAGTTCCACTTTGATGAAACACAATTTTTGTAATTCCCTCTCCTTTTTTCCCAAACCCTCGATCTTTGAGAGCTGGAAGCGGGAAAACGTGAGAAGGCGAAAAACATAGGAAAAACCATTGGAAATCAACGATGTTACCCTCTTTGGGCTCTCTCGGGACGGCTCTCGCAGCTCTCTTGGGTTGTTCTTGGAGCCTCGTCGGGGTCTGTTTGGGGCCTCTCAAGGATCGGGGGTGTGCTGGGGGCCTCTGGGGGGTCCCGGAGGCCTCTCGGAGGTCTCTGGAAGCCTCCTGCTCCCGCTCTTGGGCCCATCTTGGGCCTGTTCTGGGGTGGTCTGGGGCTGTGCTGGGCGCCTCTTCGGGAGTGTTGGAGCCTTCTTGGCCCGTCTTGGGGCCGTCCTGAAGGTATCTTGGGTGGTCTTGGGGCGGTCTTGGGAAGCTCTTCGGCGCTCTTGGGCCGTTGAAGCTCGAAAACGCGAGAAGTCAAAAACATTGAAAAGACAATTGAACATAATACGACCTTGGCCTCTTCGGGCCGTACCGTGATACCTATCAGACTTCTTGGGGTCTCTTGGAGGCCACCTGGGAGCCTCGAGAGACGTCGGAAGGCTGACTTGGGCTGCTCGGGAGCGTCTTGTGCCATCCTTTCGCATTCTGGGGGCTCCTGGGGGGTGTCTTGGGCCCTCCTGGAGCGCTGTGGAGGCTGCCCGGAAAGGCTGGGGAGCGGTGTCGGGAGCGTCCCCGAGATGTGGCCATATCTTTTCAGCGCCTTCCGGGAGCATTTTCCCGGAACGCGCTCGTGGCAGGGCACCCACGTCCGAGGACGTTGGCATGGGAAACCGCAGCGCGTGATCATTCCAGCGCGTTCCGGCGAAGACCGTCCGGAACGCGCTTGGGCAAGCGCTGGGTTTGGGGAACCGTTCAGGCAGTTTGGGATGATCGGGGCAAGAGGCGGAAGCCATCCTCATAAGACATGCAGTCTGCCTGGAGCCGTCTTGCAGAAAACACAAGAAAAATGAGACCCTGCAGTCGTTCCTGGAGCCGTCTTGGAGCCCGCTTGGGCTGCCCTGGAGCCTGTTGGAGCCCTCTGCGGAATGGTCTTGGAGCCCGCGCCGAGGATCTGGAAAATGTCCGGGACCATCGCGGCGGCCTCCGAGGCCCGGGACGCCGAAACCCAATAAAAACAAAGGGGAAATGAGCCCCGGTACTCCCATGGAGTGTCGGGCAGCTGTTTTCGGGCCCCTGGGCTAGAAACATCGCGCGCGCTTCGCGCGCGCTCAGGTTCTAGCCCAGGCCGGGGGGGCGCTGGACGATCTTGGACAACGCTATCAAGCACAGGCGCGCGACGGCATCTGAGGAGCTTCTGGGGTGTTCCGCATGCTTCGTCAACTGGCTGTTGGAGGCACCTCTTGGGTGCTTCTTGGGGGGGCGTCTGAGGGTCCCTTGGGGGCATCGGTTCTGCAATCTGAAGCCGTCAGTGGCCGTCTTGGCTGCGTGGAGGCCCGACTTGAGGCCACCTGCGGCCAGATTGAGACAATCCGGAAGCCTCCCGGGGGCCTGCTGGAAGCAGTTTCGGCGCATCGAGGGCTCTCTTGGGCTATTTTAAAACCTCTTGGACGTCTCCTAGGGGCCTTTTAGGCCCTCGGGAAGCTTTTGGGGTCCTCGTCGGACCACTTGGGGGCCTCTTGCGGCCTCCTGTGGGCCTTTTGGGGGGAACGCTCTGCTGTTGGGTCGCGTTCCCCTTCTTGGGCCTCTCTTGGGGCTCTTGGGGCCCTCTCGGGCCGTCTTGGGCGCCTCAAGCACCGTCTTGGGGCCCTCGCGGGCAGTCTTGGGGGTCTCTTGGAGACCTCTTCCTCTATATTGGAGCGGTATTGGAAGCCTCTTGGGCCGTCTTGGAGCATCGGGATGCCAAAAGGCAGAAAAAACATGAAAACCCGTCAAAGCCCAATCTTAACACGATGAGTTGTGCCTCTTGGGGCCATCTTGGGAGATTTCTTGGAACCTCGTCGGCCCTCTGAGGAATTTCTTGGGGGCCTCTTGGATCCGATTGGGGGCCTCTTGGGACTTCCCGAGAACCTCACGGGGTAGAAAGCTCGGATTCTCGGTTCGTGTTTCCCTTCTTGGGCCTCTCTTGGAGCCGTCTTGGGGCCCTCTCGGGTCGTCTTGGGCGCCTCAGGCACCGCCTTGGGGCCCTCGTGGGCCGCCCAGAGCCCTCTTGGAAGCCTCTTCGGCTATCTTGGAGCTGTCTTGGAGGCCTCTTCCTTCTCCTCGTCCCCCTCCTCCTCCCCACTCCAGCTCTCTCTCCTCCTGATCTCCTCCTCCTCCTGCAGCGTGTTCTGGAAGGCTCTCGCCGGAACATGCTGTGCACAAGTGCTGTCACTGCTCCCGCCACCGTGCCCTGGGTGGTGGGTCAGAGGCCTCATGGGTGTTAGTTTGGATCTCGTGGTTGGCCTGTCGGGGACGTCGTGAAGGCAGTTTCGCAGCTTCTCGGTAGCCGTTTTGGGACCGTTGTGGGGCCTCCTCGGGGCTGTTTTGTGGCCTCTTCAGGCCTCGTTCGGGCCTCCTGGGTGCCTCTTGGAGGCCTCCTGGGGCCTCTTGGGGGCTCCTTAGGTCCTCCTGGGGCACTCTTCAAGCGGGAGGGTCGAATTTTGGAGTCGTGGTCCCCCTCTTGGGCGCATCTTGGGGTCGTCTTGGGGCTCTGTGGGGCTGTCTTGGGCGACTCTGGGGCCGTCCTGGGGCCCTCTTGGACCGTCTTGGGGCGCTCTTGGGGGCCTATTGAGCCGTCGTGGAACGTCGGACAGCCGAAAAAGCTGGAAGGTCAAAATCGTTCGAAAACCTTCGTAAAATTGACGATCTCGGCCTCTTGAAGCGCTCTGGAGAGGCGTCTTGAAGCGTCGTGGAGTGCCTTGGGGGGCCTCTCGGGCCGTCTTGGGCCTTTCTTGGGCGTCATGGAGCGGTCTTTCGGCGACTCGGGGCCCGCTTGGGCCGTCTTGGGAGCCTTTGGAGGCCCTCCTGGATTTTTTTGGACCTCCCCGGCCGCCCCGTCCTCCCATGGGGGGTCGGAGGCGGCGGCCTCCGAGGCTCAGGACGCCCGAAGATTGACAAAAACCGCCGTCGTGATTTTTCCAAGACGTCGGAGGTCCAGGTCGTGCTTCCCGCCTCCCCAGACCTCCGACGTCGTAATTTTTGCGACCTCGGGCCCAGGAATCGATTGGGAAAACGCACATGGGAAGGCAAGAAATGATGGACCCATCATTTCGTACCTGTGCCTTGATCAGTGGGACGGGCTTCGCACCGCCGCACATCACAAGACACGCTCGAGCGGATCCAGCCATGGCGACGTCGGGGACTGCAGAAGGTCGCAAGGACACGGAATCTGAAAGGAAGAGAGAGAAAGATAGAGAGAAAGAGAGGCAGAGAGAGACAGACAGACAGAGAGCGAAGGAAAGAGAGAGAGAGAGAGATGGAGAGAGAGAGAGAGAGAGAGAAAAAAAAAAGACAGAGAGAGAGAGAGAGGCAGAGAGAGGCAATGGAGAGGAGGCGAGCTTGAGTCAACGAAAGTCGCAGGGAAGGGGGCAGGGGGAAGAAGGCCAGAGAGCGCTGAAAGATACAAATACTGGAACCCTCTTGGGATTTTTTGGGGGCCTCGTCCGGCCGCTCGCTGGGAGTTTGACGTAGCTTCTCGGGAGCCTCTGAACCTGTCGGGGGCCTCTTGGAAACAGGTTCGAAGCATTTTGGGGCCCGATTTGGGGCTTCTCGGGGCCTCCTTTGGGCCTCTTGGGGGTCTCTTGGGGCCTCTTGAGGGGCCTCCTTGGGGCCTCCTGGCGGCCTCTTGGGGCGGAAAGCTCGAGCTTGCGGTTCGTGGTCCCCCTCTGGGCCCCCTCTTGGGCCCGTCTTGGGGCCCTCTTGGGCCATCTTGGGCGCCTCTTGGGCCGTCTTGGGGCCCTCTTGGGCTGTCCTGGGGCCCTCTGGGAAGCTTCTTGGGCCGTCTTGGGGCGGTCTTGGGCGCCTCTTGGGCCGTCCTGTAACGTCGGAAAGCCCAAAAGACAACTTTGTTGAAAATGTACGTTTTACGAAGGGAATGGGCAATTTTTGCGTCTAGGGGCCCTCTTGGGACGCATGTTGGAGGCTTCTTGGGGCCTCTTGGGGGCGTCCTTGGACGTCTGGAGGCCATCTTCAGCATCTCGGAGCCCTCCCTCTTGGAAGTTTCTTGGGCCGTCTTGGGCGCTTCTTGGGCCGTCTTGTCTGACTGGGGAGGCCTCCGGCAAGCCCCGACGAGCCTCCGGGCCCCCCGGGGCGCACATTTGTGGTCGAGGTCCCGGCCCCGGGCCCCCGGACCCGGTGCGCCGTTATATGTATACGTATATACATGCATGTTCACCCACGTACATGCGTGCATACATACAGCATGCATGACATACTTTTACAGTATGCGTGCACGTGCGTACAGACATGTACGTACACATAACTACGGACATACGCAACCTATGTCTTGTTGTTTGGTGTTTTGGAAAGCCCCCCCCCAGCTTCTGAGCAGGCCGCCCCTCTCGCCCCGCTAGCTTGCGTTCGCCGCCGAGACAATGCGCCCCCACTCCATCACTCCCAGGATGGGGCCTCCAACGTGCCGCCAGGGCTCCGCGGGAAACAGCATCTTCGTATGCGCTCGTCTTCGGCGGCCCCTCCGTACTCCTCTGGCATCGACAAGTTCGGCCCCCTGGCGGCCACTTCCAAGATGTCTGCAAAATGACGCGAGTAAGCGCGAACAAAATCAGAATCAGAATTGTTGGAGAGCTGGCTAGCGTTTGAATGACCAGGCTTCAGACCAGCAATCATACCATCGAAAAGGTCTGGACGGGCACCAATGAAGCAAGCAACTCGGCGGGCGTCCCTAGGCAAGGTTTCCAGTGAGATAAACATGACGTTGGGGAGCTCTGCCCAGCTCTGGAAGTGCCTCCCTTTGCACGGCTCCCTCTTCATCTTGCCTGCAAACTCAATAAACTGCTGCCAAGAGAAGCCGCTGCACGATCGATCCTGGCAGGGTTGCTCGTTTCGACCAACAATTGCACATCCTCTGGAGGTTGCGCCTGTATAAGCTGTGGACAGCCGCAGATGGCTCGCGGTACACGTAGATCGTTTTATTCAAGACGCTGCCGTCCCCGAGTCCGTGCTTGACCCCAGGCTTGTTCTCGAAGCGCATATCGAGACCGCCCTCGTGCCAGAGGTAGTCGATGAAAAAGCTGCTCCCCGACCCTCCGGGCGAGACCACCCGCGGGGGCCTGGGCGTGCGGCCCGGCTCGTGCCTGCACGCCGGTGCGGGCGCTCCGAGGGGAGGTCCCGGCCTCGGTGCTGGAGGTGGCACCGCCAGCGTCGTCGGTGCTGAAGGCGTCGCCGTCGTCGGCGGCGGTGCCTGGAAGAAGAAGAAGAAGAAGGGTGGGGAGGAGGAGGAGGAGGAGGAGGAGGGAGGAGGAGGAGGAGGAGGAGGGGGAGGAGGAGGAGGAGGGGAAGGAGGAGGAGGAGGAGGAGGAGGAGGAGGAGGAGGGAGGAGGAGGAGGGGGAGGAGGAGGAGGGAGGAGTGAGGAGGAGGAGGAGGAGGAGGAGGGGGAAGAGGAGGAGGAAGAAGAAGCGCTACCTATACGACGACCCTGCGGGTGAAAAGGAGGTTGGGGGGGAGGGGGGCCAGCAGTGGGCAACAGCGGTGATTGTTGCGTTGCCGCTCGCTCTTGGGAGCCTGGGTGTCGATGTCGCTCGACCGCACAATCGATATCACTATTCAGCTCACGATCGATTTCACGATCGATGCCACGATCGGTCTCGCTATCGATCTCACTATCGATCTCACAATCGATTTCGTCATCGGTATCACTATCGTTTTTCGCACCAGCGGGACACCGGCGGGACACCGCGCGCCATCGTTTGCCGGAGTGAGAATCATTTGGTCTGGCCGGGGCCCAGCCACAAGCGGGACAATGGCGGGACACCGGCGGGACACCGCGCGCCACCGCTTGCCGGAGGGAGAATCATTTGGTCCGGCCGCGCCTCAGCCACAGGAGACGTTCCTCTCGCCCGCCCACGGAGCTTCGCCTCGCCCGCACGCACGGCACGCACGAGCACGAAACCGAAGCCGATTTCCTGGTGGGGGGCTCTGCGTTCCATTTCGATCTCACCCCCCAACCTCCGATAAGCATAAACTTTTGGCGCTCCGCACGGCTTTCTTGGATCCGCGCCGAAAACCCCCCTCTGGCGCGCGGAGCGCGCCAGGGGCGGAGCCGAAGGCGCTGCCAGGGGGGTCCCAGCGCGGATCCAAGAAATCCGCGCGGAGCGTCAAAAGCTTACAGTCTGGGCGTTGCCCTAAGGAACCCTAAATAAGGAACGAGGCCCCTTTTTCCATAAGTTAAACTTCGATTTCCGATCGAAAGCATAAGGAAAACCTGAGGCAAGCTGCGAAACACTTGAGGAACGCGGAGCCCCTCCCCAACGAAAAGGGTTCCTTCTTCAGGGCCCCGACTGTATGTTTGTAGCGTTTCTTCGTCTTCGAGCGCCTGAGGCCCAGGTCTTGGCGGAAGCGGCAGTGCAGGCGGCTCCAGTCGCGACTCAGGGGATGGCGCTCGCGGCGACGGCTCAGGACGTGGCCCAAGTGCCGCCACACCACGCGCACTCCCGATCAGGGTGCCGGCTCGTTCGCACAGCGGCACACTTGCCAAGACACACAGCGAAAACCCAGCAGGCGGATAAAGCCAGCGAGCATGTCCCCGTGCTGGGCCCCAGAACGTGGACATGTTCGGGACGCGGTCGCTGGAGCCTCACATGACTTGAACCGGGGCCTGGACCAGAGCTTGGGCCGAATGACTACGGATCAGGGCCTGTGCCTGGGTCGCGGGTCAGGGGCGTCTTGGATGCCTCTCGGGGCCTCGCGGATTGATTCTCAGGGGCCCTTGGAAAGCCTCTGCGGAGTCTCCTGGGGGCTTCTCGGGAGCCTCTCGGGAGCCTCTGGGGGCCTCTTGGGAGCGTCCCGGAGGCCTCCTGGAGGGTCTTCGGGGCATATTGGGGGCCACCCCGCACGGTAGTGCACCCACCCTTCTTGGCACCCTCTCGGGGCCCCTCTCGGGGCTCCCTTGGGACCCTCTTGGAGCTCTCTTGGGCCGTTTTGAACGCCCCTTGGACGGTCTTGGCACCCTCTCGGGGCCGCCTTGGGGCTCTCTTGAGCGTCTTGTGGCCTCCTTCCGCCGTTTTGGACGTGGTGAAGATCCAAGGAAGCGAATTTTGGGGCAATGTTGGCCTCCTGGGGCCCTCTTGGGGAGCCTCTTGGACCCCTCTTGGAGCGTCTTGGACGCCTCTTGGCCCTTCTGGAGGCCATCTTGGGGCGTCTCGGAGCGCTCCTGACGTCCTGGAGGCTTCCGGGGCAGTCTGGCTGGGCGCTCTTGGAGCACTCGCGGGCGGACTCGGAGCCCCCTGGGGCTCTCGATAAGCTCGCAGCTCCGTTTTGGTAACCCAACAATGGTTTTAGATAGGGTAGATAGATATCAACGGCGTGGGCCGAGCAGAAACGGATTTCCGGCAAGGACGCTCAAAGCGGTGAAAGGAATGCAGTCAATGGAATGGCAGCGCTGGAAACCGGATGCGAGAGCTATGCAACTCAAAGTATTGCCAGCTGCAGTGAGCGAAACAAATGCAAGGCAATGCGATGGACCACAGTTGAAGTCAACGTAGAGCAATGTGAGCCAATGCGTGCGAAGCACGAAGCAATATACATGCACATGCGACACACGCAAAGCAACGCAGTGCAATGCGATGCAACGCAGTGCACTGGAAAGAACCGAGCGACCCCCAGGGCCCACGGGAACTCCCAGATCCCAGGGACGGGGAACCCGAGGAAAGATCACGAGGAAAACCAGGCCAGTCCTCGGGTCTCGTGCGCAAGATCAGGGGAGGGGCGAGAGAAACACGAGCGGGGCAGAGGGGAGAGGGAGCCGCGAGGGCCCGGCCGGACGGAGGGACGAGAGAAGACTCGGGCAGGGGCGGGTAGAGGGAGGAGGAGGAGGAGGAGGAGGAGGAGGAGGAGGAGGAGGAGGAGGAGGAGGAGGAGGGAGGAGGAGGAGGAGGAGGAGGAGGAGGAGGGAGGAGGGAGGAGGAGGAGGAGGAAGAGGAAGGAGGGAGGCGGGATCGTACATGCCGGCACGCCCTTCTCACGGACCGCGTCACCCAGGGAGCGCCGCCCAGGGGCCCCAGAAGGAAGGCCCGCTTCACAGGGCGTCGCCGCGACAACTGCGGGACGCCCCTTGCATGGACTGTGGCCCCTGGGAGCTCCGCGTATGGTACCAGGATGACAATTCGCACGGCGCCCCTCCGCCAATTTCGGCATGCCCTTCGCAGGATCGTGCCCCACCTAGAGCTCCACCGACGGCCCCTCAGACCAAGGTTCGCATCCAACCCGCCCAAGTCAGCACACCCCTGACACGATCGTTTCCTGCAGGGAGACTCACCTACAACCCAGGGAAACCTCTCTTGGTGTCTGCCCGCCCATTTCGGCACCTCTCACATGGATCGCGTCCCACGGGGAGCACAGCCGACGGCTCCAACCGGAAGGGTCGCATAGCGTCCCTCCACATATTGCGGCACACCCCTGACGCAGACCGTGCCCCGAAAAGAGTTCCACTTATGGCACCAAGTGGGCATCTTCGCATGGCGCCCGCACACCTGTTTCGTTTCTTGCCTTGTCCTTCTCATCGCCCTCCTCGAGGCTTCACCTCGTCGCGACGAGACGACAACGACGACGACCACCACCACCTCAACGACGACTCTCGACGAAGACAACGACGACGACGACGAAAAAGACGACGACCGCGACTGATGTAACGACGACGACCGCGAAGACAGTGCCGATTACCAGGACAACGACCACGACGAAAACAATCACGACGACGGCGACCACAACCTCGACGACAACGACCACCTCCGCGACACGACGTCCATGGAAGAAGAACGAGGAGGACGAACAGGCAACGAACTGGAAATAATTGCGATGTTTCAAAGATTTGGGCCTCCGGATCCAGGTGAGTTCGATTTGATGAAGTCCTTCCATACCTCGTCGAAGATCGATAAGGCGGAGACAGCTACGCAAACTGGGTGCCGGCGGTGAACCGTCAACCAGGCTACCGCCGGGAACCTCGTAGAGCTCCTCACACGCATAAGAGCGCTCTCGATGCAGACAGAAACCTGAAGCTCAGCTTGAAAACTGGAGAACATATTTTTGGAGTATAAATGCAAAGTGAATTGCGCCAAGTGTTTTTTCATTATAACAGCTAGAGACCTGACAACTGGAAGCCGGCGGTAAACCGTCAACCTTGGTTACCAGAGCTTCCTCACCATATATGTGCGTAAATACATATATACACATCTATACATCGATACATATATCTATATATATATATATGTATATATATGTATACTAGAACCATCGCGCGCGCTTCGCGCGCGCGCTCAGGTTCTAGCCCAGGTCGGGGGGGCGCTGGACGATCTTGGACAACGCTATCAAGCACAGGCGCGCGGCGGCATCTGAGGAGCTTCTGGGGTGTTCCGCATGCTTCGTCAACTGACTGTTGGAGGCACCTCTTGGGTGCTTCTTGTGGGGGCGTCTGAGGGTCCCTTGGGGGCATCGGTTCTGCAATTTGAAGCCGTCATTGGCCGTCGTGGCTGCGTGGAGGCCCGAATCGAGGCCACCTGCTGCCAGATTGAGGCAATCCGGGAGCCTCCCGGGGGCGTCCTGGAAGCAGTTTTGACGCATCGAGGGCACTCTTGGGTTATTTTAAAGCCTCTTGGACGTCTCCTAGGGGTCTTTTAGGCCCTCGGGAAGCTTTTGGGGTCCTCGTCGGACCATTTGGGGGCCTCTTGCGGCCTCCTGTGGGCCTTGTGCGGGGACCGCTCTGCTGTTGGGTCGCGTTTCCCTTCTTGGGCCTCTCTTGGGGCTCTTGGGGCCCTCTCGGGCCGTCTCGGGCGCCTCAAGCACTGCCTTGGGGCCCTCGCGGGCCGTCTTGGGGCCCTCTTGGAGGCCTCTTCCTCTATGTGGGAGCGATATTGGAAGCCTCTTGGGCCGTCTTGGAGCATCGGGATGCCAAAAGGCAGAAAAAAGTAAAACCCGTCAAAGCCCAATCGTAAAACAATGAGTTGTGCCTCTTGGGGCCACCTTGGGAGATCTCTTGGAACCTCGTCGGCCATCTTGGGAGCTTCTCAGGGGCCTCTTGGATCCGATTGGGGGCCTCTTGGGACTTGCCGAGAACCTCTCGGGGTAGAAAGCTCGGATTCTCGGTTCGTGTTTCCCTTCTTGGGGCTCTCTTGGGGCCGTCTTGGGGCCCTCTCGGGCCGTCTTGGGCGCCTCAGGCACCGCCTTGGGGCCCTCGTGGGCCGCCCAGGGCCCTCTTGGAAGCCTCTTCGGCTATCTTGGAGCTGTCTGGGAGGCCTCTTCCTCCTCCTCGTCCCCCTCCTCCTCCTCCCACTCCAGCTCTCTCTCCTCCTGATCTTCCTCCTCCTCCTGCAGCGTGTTCCGGAAGGCTCCCGCCGGAACATGCTGTGCACAAGTGCTGTCGCTGCTCCCGCCACGTGCCCTGGGTGGTGGGTCAGAGGCCTCATGGGTGTTGGTTTGGATCTCGTGGTTGGCCTGTCGGGGACGTCGTGGAGGCAGTTTCGCAGCTTCTCGGTAGCCGTTTTGGGACCGTTGTGGGGCCTCCTCGGGCTGTTTTGTGGCCTCTTTAGGCCTCGTTTGGGCCTCCTGGGTGCCTCTTGGGGGCCTCCTGGGGCCTCTTGGGGGCTCCTTGGGGCCTCCTGGGGCACTCTTCAAGCGGGAGGGTCGAATTTTGGAGTCGTGGTCCCCCTCTTGGGCGCATCTTGGGGCCGTGTTGGGGCTCTGTTGGGCTGTCTTGGGCGACTCTGGGGCCGTCTTGGGGCCCTCTTGGGGCGCTCCCGGAGGCCTATTGAGCCGTCTTGGAACGTCGGACAACCGAAAAGGCTGGAAGGTAACATTCACGATTTCGGCCTCTTGAAGCGCTCTGGAGAGGCGTCTTGAAGCGACGTGGAGTACCTTGGGGGGCCTCTCGGGCCGTCTTGGGCCTATCTTGGGCGTCCTGGAGCGGTCTTTCGGCGACTCGGGGCCTGCTTGGGCCGTCTTGGGAGACTATTTTAGACTTATCCCGGCAAAGCAACCTAGCAGCGATGTGTAGGAGCATATCTGGAAGCATTCCCCTTAAGATTCAGATGATAATCCAGTTGTAGAATTCTGCTGTCCTCGCAGTCGTAGTCGCATTCGCGATGACAGTCGCAGTGGCAACGGCAGTCGCAGTCAGCCTCAGCCTCAGCCTCAGCCTCAGCCTGCCTCAGCCTCAGCCTGCCTCAGCCTCAGCCTCAGCCTGCTTCAGCCTCAGCATCAGTCTGCCTTCAGCCTCGGCCTCAGCCTCAGCCTGCCTCAGCCTCAGCCTGCAGCCTCAGCCTCAGCCTCAGCCTGCCTCAGCCTCAGCCTCAGCATCAGCCTCAGCCCAGCCTCAGCCTCAGCCTCAGCTTCAGCCTCCGCAGCTCAGTCTGCCCTCAGCCTCAGCCCTCAGCTAGCCTGCCTCAGCCTCAGCCTCAGCCTGCTGCCTCAGCCTCAGTCTGCCTCAGCCTCGGCCTCAGTCTGCCTTCAGCCTCAGGCCTCAGCCCAGCCTCAGCCTGCCTCAGCCCAGCCTCAGCCTCAGCCTCAGCCTCAGCCTCAGCCTGCCTCAGCATCAACCTGCCTCAGCCTCAGCCTCAGCCTCAGCCTCAGCCTGCTTCAGCCTCAGCCTCAGTATGCCTTCAGCCTCGGCCTCAGCCTCAGGCTGCCTCAGCCTCACCCAGCATCAGCCTCAGCCTGCATCAGCCTCAGCCTCAGCCTGCCTCAGCATC